ATGCTTTAAGTTATTATCAATTGAACAAATACACATCTGCTATAGTCGACTTCGAAATTTTTTTTTACTGTTTTTTTATAGATTAGGGGCAGTACGATTTAACGATAAAACGGAGGCCAATATTTGGTTGGTGTATTGAATGCAGTTGACGACGGAACCATGCAAGTGTACACGGGTATACACGATGGAGCAATTCAGATAAACTTTCGCAGGCTATTTGTCGTAGCGAGCATGCGTTCATCCATTACTCTTGCTACTAAATAGAAACGATTTTTTTTTTTTAGAGGAAAGCAGCAAGCTTTGTATGGCGAATTTGAGTAAAGATCAATTATTGTCAAATTTTTTCACGCTGAAACAACCTTCAGGAAAATTCAGGCCTTTTTTTTGCCTGTAGTCGACAATCTAGGTTTCTGCCAGTTTTCATTAAGTTTCTAGAAAATCTGGGCAAGGCCTTCGTAAGGCAAGTCGGAAAATTCTCAAAATGACTCAAAACACAATTTCTGATGCATATTGCTTTTTCATAGAGAGTTGAACGGCCCTTCAGGTAAACTTCAACGGTAAGCCTTTTTAGAGTTTTCAACCTTTTAGCCTTTCTGATCTGCTACCATCCTAAAATTAAGTTCCGTTCGGGTTTTCTCATCTAGCATATAAGAGCAACACATTACGAGCTTACATCTACCACATATACATTGTTTGATACATGTTACTATTTAAAGAGGTAGCGGATGGAAGACGGGTTATTTGACTTATTTTGTTCGTTCTGTTAATTAGGTAATGGCTCAGATCTTGAACTGTAACTGTGGTAGAACGTGATTGCACTAAATACACAAGACTGTCAAATATGATACTTTGAGCGCATGAAAGTAAATCGCTGAAATATCTGTTTTTGTTTAAATACGGCTTTATAAAGAACTAATTAAAAAGTTCCGATTTCAATGCCGCACAATAGTTAAATTATGTTTTTAACAGGATACGCCGTCAAAGGCTTTTATCCAAACTAAAACTTTTGCGAATAAATCTACGGTCGGATGTATGCATTAAGAGCTATCTTCGTAAGCTTTGCTTCCGTAAACGTGTCAACAATAGATAGAACAATTTAATAGATACGGAAATCGTCCCTTGAGTATCTTGCAAAGCAGTGGCCTATAGCAGATATTGTTTAGAAATTTCCATTTCTAAATGGTGTGCAGAAAATCAAGATTGTACCTATTTTCAAATGTGCCATATTTTGCCGCTTAATAATGAATCAGCACCAATTTTTTTGTTCAGACAAAGGACCTAATTTTAGGAGCACAGTTTAGGCCATCAGGCCGGCCAGGCGTATTCTCTGTAGAGACGTTAGATTGGATATAAGAACTTATACAAAAAAAATTTGATTATTGTTGTCAATCTGACAACCATATCTTACGAAGCGCGTATAATATAATAATACTACTAGAACGTGAAAAGTAGGCTAATGAAACGTAGATCCATCAGGGGCGGGATCAAAGCTAATACGATGGTTCTGACCCCCAATTTATAACCAATGAAACGAATTTAGAATTAAAAAAAGGAAATTTCTAAATCGACTAGGTTTAATCTGATAATTTTCGGTGCGGTCAAAGAATGTTGGCTACTGCCATAATCAAAGCCAGGTGCATAAATCCCATCTACTTTTTAGGTGTTGTTGAAAAAGATGCTAATATATTGTGTGTAAACAAGTTTTTTTTAAGTAAACGCTGGTTTTTGTACGTGAGTACCCTGAACCTTTTTGGGAAAATGTTGTGATCAACTAAGCATCGCAGACCGGCAGCCAAAATAATGATTATTCAGTTTACGAATTGTACCAGCACGATTCATTAAATAGCATCCGTTGCCCTATTTGTACTAGCATGGTTCAGAGCTTCTATAAGAGGCAAGGGCCCTTTTTGTTAAGTGACGCTTGCGCAAAGCCAAAACAGCTGAAGTGAGAAAAAAGGTCCCGTTAATTTGGTAAGTAATGACCACATTGATGGAAAACCATGATTTTCAGATTCTTAAGGAGGTCTCACCATATCAAGAAGCTTACGGCTAGTTTGATGATCTCAAACGTGAACTGTTTATGACATCGAGGTTAAACTTTCGGTAAAACTTTTTCCAAATGCCAGAACCTTACGGTTTAGAATTATACCGAAAGGGAGCGAGAGAGAAAGGCGAAATTCATAGATTAATGAAAAAAGATATCGCCTTTGATAATACCGTCGTTTCTTTGACCGTATGAGCAGTTTGTTTGCCAATTTGCACAAATGAAAATGCCCTGCAGAGAACTGACGTCGCCTTGAAGCTATCGTTGCGCATATCTTCAAGGAAATGTCCAGGCGTAATTACAGCTGGCGCTCGTCTTTCACCACAGAAGTCTCGGAATCCGGTCGGCCAGTTACCTCAGCATGCACACTATTCTGGTTCGGGAGCCGACGCTGCACACATACATCTCGTGCAGCACATGATATTCGAGATCGTCATGCCATGGTGCACACTTGAAATCTGTGGAAGTAAAATATCTAGCGACAGAAAGAGAGTCGCTGTTCGACTTAGCGGTCTGGGCCGCGATGCGGTCAGAGTGACGTCAGAGTAAATGAAACTAAACTTTCATGAAATCCTGTATGAGTTGGGGAAACTAATCGCTTTTAAGCAGCATTGTAGTCGCGCGCAAGTTGTAAATGGCTATACTCGGTGCCAACAACGCGTCTGGGCCTCGTACTAAACAGTATTTAACCACGGGCAGTCACAGTTCTGCAACAGGAAGAATAGATATGCGAGCCCTAACCTGGTTCTTGTTTTCCACCAAGGAAAATGTGATCGGTTACATTAGATCAGAAGTTTTCTTAACTCGTACGTATGTTCCTCTATGGATGCCTTCTTGAACCGATCATTACGTACACTATTGTGGTTTGGGATAACACATTTTCTCAGCATTTAAATCATATGAACTACGCAGAGTGGTGCCGTTGGTACTGTCGTCGGAATATTAACGTCCGCTTACACATCAGATCCTAATAAGTATGCCATGTAGTCACGAATGCTGCGAGCTTGATGTGTGATACTAAAACCAATATATACGCGTCCATCACGAACCAAATCACTCCTGATTTCCGCCACCGTTAGTTCTTTACATGTCCTTTTTAGATAGCTTAATCAATTAAGCTCAGAAATTGCATGGTGAATTCTCCGAGTTTTCCACCCATAAGTCATATAGGACTATTAAAGTTACGAAAATTTATTAAGTATCGCGCGCAATAATTTAACGTCGACGCTGCTCTATTCTTGTACTCTAGATAGGTGACATGGGGCTGTCATAAGATTTGGAGTTGACCTGTTTCTTTACACTGATATGATTTTAGGGCTTGTTTTTGAGTAAAGCAAAGCTATTCGAATTAAATTGAATTTTAAGAGCGCTTAAAGTTCATCACTTCTCAAGGATGCGAACTTGGCATAGTTCGAATGTATCTTACAAATATGGTATGATCAAAAATATATTCCTATCATGGTCAATAAATGTTTCAATCTGCCATAAAAAAGCAGGTCTGGTCTATGGGGCCAGGTTACGACACTATAGGGGCTGGTACTGATTTTATGGGTCTTATCTGCGCGAGGTTCCTGATAAGTAAATAGACGTAAGCTGTCCCAAAACAACGCTGTTGACTTCTAAACGGCGTTTTCAAAAAATTTACGCTCGGCTACTCAGAACTCAATACCCAATAACCTTAAATACGTAAAAGAACAATGAGAATGGTAAAATATGTTCGATCGTTTGCGCCGCGTAAGCTTGAGTTAACAAAAAGTCTCTTCATTGAATTTATGTTGACGCAAACACATTTTTATGTTCCTAAATACAATGAATTACGCCGTTGATTTATATGCTGCCAGTACTGCCGTTTAAAGCTTGAAAAAGGGTATCGATGCGTCCAGTAGGCACTGCAGCTTGTCGAAATCGTTTCTTTATCTTTGCATTTGTGTGGAGTTGTCAGAAAATGATTTAATAAGCACTAATTAAGCACATGCAACAAGGCTCAGAACTGCTAGATGCAAACTACTTTGGCTGCGTTTGAATTATTTATTATCATTATTATTATATAGAATGCCTCTACAATAGTCTAATTGGAACGTCTTCAAAAAAGCGAAAAAAAACTCATTTGTTGGAAACCAATTCGAGGTTAATGAAAACGAGGGGCCAATAATAGCAAGAGAAATATCCCGGGAACGGACAAACAAAAATGGGTTTTTCGCGATACTTTTGTGTACAAAATAAGTGAGCAGTTACAACTGAAAACGTTAAAAAGATGCCAAGAGAAGCGCGACAAAACCGTACAAAACCAAAAAGCGAAACATACCGCCAGAGAGAGCACCGTAGGTTTTCGTTCAACCCATGTGGTGTAGCGGCAGCCGCTTGATCCTGATACTAATGGATATTGCTGCACCCGAGTGCGTCGTGGGCACGTAATCCTTAAAAAATCTAGTTAGCACCCAAAAACATCGTTAAGAGGGCGTTATTTTGATGGATTTTCTTAATATCTAGGATGGTCTCTAAAGTATCTTGCTAGTTAGGTTGCTCGTGTTGCCTTCAAAGGGTATAAACATTTTTTTAACGCCCGTTCTTTTCTATCGGGTTTACGGTTCGTATGTAGTGTTTCCATTTCGCTTAACAGAGTTCGATGCCCTCATTTGTTTTGACCAGTAAAATATCTGCTTGCAGTGGATATAGCAGCTATTTCCACGCGCTTGTCCGTGGTCGTATTCCCGTAACAGCTCCAACCCCGGGGTGTAAGTGAACCACACACACGTTGCGGAGATACTTCGTAAAGTGCCCGTAGAGAAGTCCAGTACCCGACGCTAAAAAGACGCCGCTAGGACTCGGAGTTGGCTGCCAACGGGTGTGTAGTCTGATTGGTCGGTGATACGGTGACGTCATAGGGAGGCGGCGCCCTGGGGACCCTGAAGAGGCGAGCCCGAGAACATAGAGCCGCATTTGGGACCACTGCTATGCGCCATCAGCAGTAGCGGAAGTAGTAGCCGACAACTCGAAAAACGGTGAAGCAGTTACATAACTTTATGGACGTTAAAGTGTCTGCCTAGAAGGAGACTACGAGTGTCTGGTTTACGTCAAGTTCAACTATAAGGTGTCCACGATAGTAAACAACTAATACCTTTAGATTCTTCGATTGTAAGTTAAGGCTATTTGGTCTTTAATCACGCCAAAGTATTTTTTGCAAAATTCAAAACCAAGATTAACTAAAAGCTATATTCTAACTTCAATGATTATGCTGTTGGTAGAACGTAGCTTAATGATAGAAAAAGTTTTCCTACGCGATTTACCGTTAAACGCTTAAGGTCATTAACTGAAAAAACGACATCGTATAACGATTATTTCATTGTGCGAGGCCTATGAATCATAGAGAAAAGTAACTCTGAGATGCAAAAAAAGGTAACACTATATTTCAGTCACTCGAGTGAAACTGTTATCAAATCATTAGCTATTCAAAACAAAGATTGCCCTGTTTGTTCCCTTGCACTCTTTCTTTAAGTTCTTCAAAGTTACTCGCGCTTTGCAAACGCGTTTAGAGCTTCCAAATAAAAGTATAGGTGCACAGATGATAGGTGCGTACTTAAATTGTAGCAACTTTCAAAAGAAGCTGCTTCACGATATAAAAAAGTTTTGTCCTTAATCTCGTCATACCATGTAAAAACTAAGCGTGATGATACTGCTGCTATTTTCTTAGGCCCGATGATGGTACCAATACAATGAAACCATATTTAACCACCTGCAAAAATATAGGCCGCTGGAAAGTAGATGTTCTTTTTGATTATCTCATGAGCTGTGCCTGGTAACTTAAAGATTGATTATTTTCGATGGGCTGCAGGGTTTACGTTACATGGGAAAATCAAACAAAAACTCCAACGCATCATTTAAGTAACCGTTACTAACATTTGTCGAACAGCTGGTGGGCGATGTCTACTAAATGGCGTGAGAACGTTAACACATCCTTCAACTAGTCGGGTCTATATTTCTGGGGTTAAACCCGGAGTCTAGGAAGTATCGGTTATTTTCAGGAAACTGTTTTTAGCCACCAGTGGGTACAGATCGAAACTGAAATCGTAGATTTATGAATAAAGAAATCATATTTGATCTTGAAACTTATCCAGCCATCGACATTCCGTATGCAGACGACCCATAGTATCACAATCTCATGAGTGATATGAAGTTCTGCAGTGAAAATACCATGATGATGGTTTGGTGCGAGTCTCGAAACATTCGAACTACAGAGGAGTACAGGATTATGCTATCTACTTAATTTCATATGAGCATTAAGGGACACCGGTGATACCATAGTGAGTGACCTGTTTGCCTGCTTAACTTGGGGGGGGGGGGTGGTTGTTCTGGTTGGAGTCCATGGGTAGGCACATTTGGTTTCAAGCTGGGAAACAGCTTTCCAATGGAATACGTAACGGCACTCGAAGCATTTAGCTTTAGGTGATCATTAAGGAATGAGACTAGAAAATGCATAAATTAAATGCACTGAAGGATAGAAATAATTGCCCATGATTGCATTAGTTGTACACATGTGTATAGACACAACTCTTAAGCTAGTATCTATTTTGCAACCTGAATAATTGATTTAATACTAAAATAACTTAAACGCCAAGTGATTGGCCTCACCTGATCCCACAAGGCCAGCCGTTCCTCCTATCTATGTATCGCCAAAATGACTCAGTACTCGTTGCGTACAGAATGTACCTTAATTATTAATTACCAAGTTCGACGTTGGAGTGCGGCCGCACCATACGAAATCCTATTTTTGTGTTGCCTAATATTGTATTTCTAGCGTAAAAGCATGATGTCAAGAAAAACAAATCTGCTTTATCACTGAATGATGCCAGTAGTAAAAGTGGTAAACAATTATAAGAAAATTTATCAGACATTGAAATCGAATAAATTTCGAACTATCTGATCTTAAACGACGATTTGCATGACTGCCCCACGTTCTGGTAGCCTCTGTTAGCCTCACACATACCATTCGTTTCCCCGCATGTAATTACCCTATCTACCTATGGCTCCTTGAAGTAAATCGATGGTGGGATATGCCTACCAACTGCCTCTTTTAGGACACAAAAAGGTAATTACACGAAGTTCGATCAAGAAAATAAGTAGGCTAAAATCAACGGTGGATATTCCTTTGCTTAATCCAGGAACCAATTGAGGTTTGGCGATGACGCATGGCGTTATTAAGTAACCAGGCTACGTGCTTTCGATGTCCGCGTCCATGATCCATAAGTCCCTTAAGGGATTCGGGATAGCTGGCTGAATTCATTGTTTGATTTTCGGAAAATATCTTATGCTACCAGATGTCCTAGATGTGCATTGTACATACCACCATCACCTTACGTCCAAGCTTACTCGACACTGTCACCGAATTTGATTTCTCTCCAGAGGGACACCCGCTCGTTTCTCCAACTGGCGGTCAATATTGAATCATGCTATAGTTGTTGTACGCTTCAGGCGGGTTTTTTGGGAATTAGGTGCCGGAAATTGCGCGTGGGATACACCACACGCACTTTCAACTGGTCTGAAGTGGATTCACGAGGTACTCATTTTTACTCAGTTCCCACATTTTCAATATTTTTATTCTAATTTTGTGAGACCTTATATGTGATTTGGCGGACAGAGTTCTTAGACTAATTTTATGAGAAGCCTTCTGGATTGCGGCAATGCTTTTTTGACTTCGGGCCTCGACATCTGGTCACCTCCTCATGGGTTTTCAATACTTCAGTTTCTGTTCTTGAAACCTTTGCACTCTTCACATACTATATTTAAGACCTCTTTTTTTAATTAAAAAAAAAAAAAAGAAAAAACTTAACCACTGAGTATCAGGTTTTGAGACTAAAAAAAGTATTTCCTTTTTTTCCCGGAGTAAGCTTAGCCAGTTTTCACTCACAGGTTTCTAGAGGAATAGAGTACCTGCACGCCATATTCTGTCTGCTAGTGGCGCGTAGTTCAAAAGTTAATACTTTAAAAATCCAACGGATTCGCTTGTAGGATCCTAATATACTTGTGCATCCGACGATCAGCAAGACCTGCCAGGTACGAAGACCCGCCGTGAAAACTAATGTAAACAAATACAAAAATAAGTCTGCTAAACAAAAAGCGTATGATATTCCAAATAAATCCGTGAGAAACGTGCCAAAGTATCTGATCAAATTTCAACTATTTATACCAGGTGTTGCGAGGGTAAACGACGAACTAAGTGCCGAAAGGCGCTAGTGCTGAATAATGTTTTACCCCAAAATTAAATCAATAATGGTTTTAACACAAGATCAACTAAAAAAATTATTATAGCATGCACTGGTAATAAGCTCAGAGAAAATATCAGTATATATTAAAGGTCACCCCCCATAGAGATCCAAATGTTATGGAAGTTAGCAAATTGCAACTTGCGTAGATGAGAAAGTGAATTGTGCGTATTTTTGACCGTCTGCCTACTGCCAAACTTGACGAGTTATTTAAAATACGCTTAGGACGTTTCTAGTCAATTTTGTGGATTATTTTTCTGACATGCTATGAAAACATTTGTATTTTGCATATTGATCATATTTCGATGACTTACTTCGATATGGACGGCAACTTTCGCAAATTAAGGGTAGCTTATATAGAAACCACGCTGATTGTTTTAAGTGTAAAGCGTTTATCCGAGTTGAGTCGGCAGGTAGCCCTGCACTGATCGAAGCGCGTTAAGACACCAGATAGCCAATGGTATCATCTTTATTAGTCGCACAGTATGACCTCATCTAAACGCAGCCTGGAATTACTGCTAAAACCAACTAATTAATTTAAGCAAATGGTGCAGGGCTAGTACTGCGTATATCCTCTTCCAGTTCGAGGGAACCTAAAATCCATCTTTTAGAAAACCCATTGTCTGCATTTGTATAGAGCACCCTATACAGATAAACTGTAAGATGCATATAGCGCATAGTTACCAGCATTGTACCCAATTGCAGTGAAGAAATGGTCGGAAACTAGGTGCCATTAGGTCCGACCTGTTTGATATAGACAAACTTCGTTTTATGCTAGGAGCCAGCCACCTCTCTGATGGAATGCCTAACGGCAGTATCGCACGTAAAACTTGAAACATAGAGGTCCTACATGTTTAGCTATGAGGCTCACTCATTCAATAAAATACCCACCAAGTGTTGAAGAATATGATCATCCTAAAAGTTCGTATTTTCTTACGGTAACATTCTACAACAATCACTGAACATTAGCTGAATGATCGACTAAAAATGTCTTGAATTAAAAGCAGTTTTAAGTTCGTTACTCTACAGACGAAAAATAACGTATGGTACAGTTGAAAATTTAATCATGGGTAAAACGAAGCAAGTTAGCTGTGCTGGGACTGATCTATCGTCCTTTACTTTCAGTTATTTTCGATAACTTGCCGCCAATTGACTGAGTCTTGCAACAAACTGGTTCTTATCAAATGTCATCCTTTTAGTAAAATAAAAGTGTTGTCTTTTTCAATAAGTATTATCTCACACTATGCTGCGTGCCCATGTTTATAAGTACGAGGTTTCTCTCCCGAGGTGAAGAGATGAACTCTTGTTTTATCAAGAACGACAAGTGAACGATGGTCGCAAAGAGAAGCACGATATTGAAATGCAAATGGCGCTGCATTATAGATGACTGCCTGCGCCCTCAAGCGGCGCATATTAATAAAATAGACAGACTTCATTGTCACAACGTTATTATACGTGAGTAAAATGCTTCTCGGGATGCTAGGTCATTTAGCTTCCGCTTTAACGGGAAAATCATCAATATGTGTGTGTATCTATTTTACTGAATTGCTTCGTTTCTGAGCGGCCTATTATGTTGATTACACTGGTCAAGGTGGCTGTTGTTTATATGGAAAAAGCGGAACACAACGCGCATCTTATTAGTCACCCGGACGTCACCCAGCACCGCTTCTGCTGGCTGCTATTCTTCACTCAAATATGAACTTTTTCACAGTGATTTGCTATACCAAACCGAAACGTCCTAGACCAAAACGTTCGTTCGTACATGGCTTTACTTCTATGGTCTTGTCTCTGCTCGTTAACCTTACAAGCATGTCTTTAGACAAATACTTCAGAAAATGCGGGCAGCTTGATTCCCTTCTGTGTGAGCTTTTCGGTCTCATTAATCTGTGCTTCATGGGACTTCATTGCAAACAACGTAGATCTTGATCGTGTCGATGGCTAATTTGATCTGAGTTCTTGGCTTTCTTCCCGACAAGCGTTCGTTGTCACATCTGAGAGAGCCAAGAGCTCAGTGGTCTGCGCGTGGGCTTGCCACTGCGTTCGATCCGTATCACACCCGCCGACTATTAGCGGCTTCGCGGGCACCCTTAACTGCTTTGTAGTATACTACACAGTAGATTTTATGATGGTACAGTTAACGTGTTGCCTTATAAACGTATGGATACGCAAGGTGCGCTTAGATTGAAGCAGGATGTAGATGCACTTCGATTTGTATTGAACGTCAGTTGTCTAAGATTCGATTATTATAAAGCTTGAAATAGCTTGAAGTTAAATGTGATTTTGTTAGGTAGATCCACCAAGACGCTCTCCACAGTGCTGGAGGCGATTGCTAAGAACCGCATAGTTCCGTTCCGCAGAGTTGCGGCCCGCACAAGGGGAAGCCTAAATGAGGGGAAATCACAAAGCACACAGGCACTAGAAAGTGTCTAACAATTTATGTTTATATTCATATTTGTTAGTAATAATACTTTATAGTAGGTCTTTCGTCTTTAAATATCAAAATGAGTTTTTTCACTGCTTATTCAATTGTCGGAGCAGATCTAGCGTATATATAGTACTGTGTTGAGCCACAGGGCTTAGTCCAACGAAAACTTTATATAAGTTTTCAAATATTACTTAGCTTTGAATAGGCTGCATTGCCAACGAGCAAACGTTATCTGATTGAAGATGTTTACAGAAAAACTCGTGGCAGAGAAGCCTGCAAATAGAAGCTTATTCGTCAGTCAAACTCAATGGAGTCCTTATGCAGATCTGTGTTAACTCTGTGTCACCAGCATTAACAATGAAGAGATGGAATCGAATGAAGTGCTGCAGGTGCTATCATTGTTATCATATGTGTATACACTATATTATTATATAAGGTAGTAAACGCAAAAAGTTTGGAACGTGCCTTGGTATATTCGTCCCTCACTCAAGGCACTATATGTTTGAAAATTTCGAAAACCATTTGAAGAGATTAGGCTCTCAGTCGGATATTTCTTTCACTTTTTCACTACTTTCTCTCACTTTTTCCACGGTGTCCATTCCCAATACGTTAGCGATGTGGCAGATTGTATTCAACATATGTAAAGTGCGCTGTCAATAGATGGGTCGGAAACTCAATACTGGGAGTCATTTTAACTACGTCTAAAGAGAGGCTTCTTTCCAATTACGGTACTATGCCAAATATCATTTGAGAGTAAAGAGACCCGTGTAGGAGTCCTTTCTTTTTTACGAACTGTTTGAAAAAAGAAGATAATTTTTCAGGAATATTTTGTTAAATAATAGCATTACTGTACAAGGCCGAAGTTACGATTCAGACTGAGACGAGAAACGAGACACCGTTAAACTATTTCATTTTAAAGGATGCTTTTCCCCAGTCATTTTTACATGAAAGTATGGTTCTATTGTTCCAGATATGCCTCCAATAAATTCAACTGGTTGGAGTTGCATGTTGTAAGGGGCAATGTTTACTTAAATGTATGTGTGTGTGTGTGTGTATATATATATATATATAGATTCCCAGCAAACATGCGTCGTTTCGTCAGGTAAGGTTGGGAACATCGACCGGCTGCCTTCGCAATGAAAGGGTACAGATATTGTACAAAAGGTGCTTTATCAGTTATTTCAAATGGAACGTACCTGAGGACGACCGAGATTTAAGCCCGTATTTTGACGACGCTGGAAGGGTGTTTCGCACATATATTGGCGCCAACGCGTAGCGATATCAGCTACGGGAGCGGCCAGGTTCTTCAATGAAGCATCTGCGGCCGCAGAAACATATGAACATAGTGCGCAGACTATGAGTACCAAACACAGAGCCAGTTTACTATATCCCTGTTAAATATAGCTTCCATATTGTAAACGGCTAAGCCTAACACATTAATTTTCACACTGACACCATCGTGCTAGAAACCGCAACCACAGTACTTAAAAGGCAGTGACCATTACGCCTCAAGGTACTGTTTATGTAAGCTATCGGGTTCATGATTTCGGTATTTTCAGGAAAGTATATTTTTTCAGTTTTTATCGTAAGATAAATTTGCTATAGTGGATGTCTATTCCAGGTGAAAAAAAAACAACATTAAATTTTTACCGTAATTTTACAGCGACGAATGGCTTGCTTATCAAAAGGACGATCCAGGGTTGGCTTGCTCGCCATCTATTCCTAACTGCATTATAATATAATCTGCTCGTTGCCATATCTGACAGAAAGTGGTTTGTATATGGGGTTGTCTATATCGTTCGAACAACGCGTAACTGGCCTCTATATGTGACAAAAACGCGTCGAAGGCATAGCAGTTACTGCGTCGCAGGTCGATTTTCTCTGTCCTTTTTCACGTTAGCTGCCTAGAAAGTGTTAAAACTCAATCGAGATGCTTCTTTTAGGTTCGTAAAGCGACGCAACCTCACGTTAATCACATAAATGGTTATATAAGACCCACGCAACGTATTTCAATCCTACGGCAATTGCATTGAATTATTCCACATTTTGAGCACGCTATTTAAAAACCCGTGGAAAACTCTAATGTTTATGACACCATGTCCATTGCCGCTTAGAGTACTTTAAATATTTTGTATTTGAGAAAGCAATTATTCTTACAGGTAAGAGCCATGACATTTTAAATTTCGCAACAAACGCTTGCAAAAACCGATATTGTCGTATGTTTGTTAGTCTGTTACTCAACAAAACGATGCGTAAAATAAGAGAAATGAACGGCGTAGCTAAACATACATCAAAGTTTATATACGCGAATGTGTGAATACGTGAGCTAGGAACGTTGACCTTACACTGAAGTCCATTTACTTCAGGCGTACAAAACAAGAGTTGAGATTATTAGAATCGGGTATCTGAGTATGGTGCAGGATGAAGGTTAGGCAGAAGATAAAAGCCACGAGAGAACCGCGAAGACATTCAGAAAGTTCGAACGATGACAAACCGTATGAGATACTACCCTTGGGAGTCGTAGGCACCAACGTCGCTCTTTCTGCTGTTGCTGCTGTACATTAGAGTGGTCTACGATCGGAGCTTTCAAGTAAGCAGCACTTTCGCATTTCTTCCATCGTTAGTCGCTTTACGATGTCGGCTACTACCACTATATCAATCCTGCTTTGCCTAAATGATTGCGACAATATGCTATTTCTGATCAACCTTGGACACTCTTTGGGTTCGGCCTTACCATATGGTAAGGTCGAGTATACGTGCAACATTACTTCGAATATGCAAAAACTGCGTTCGTCTGCACTAGCCGAACTATGCACTAAATCGAAACTCTAAATTTTCTAAACATGAATGAAATGATACAGCTTTTCAACTTGAAAGTTGGTTGGACCCATTACACATACATTAACATATCAAAGATTCGAATCAAGTTTTCTAAGTTGAGTGTTGTGAATGTTAACGGAGATCTTATTTAAGGCTCACGAGATGCTGAAAAAAGACTGAGAATGTAGAAGACAATTTCGAAAAACTCACAGCAGTTCACTTCACGATGGGTATTAATTCGACATATATTGACTTACATATTGGGTAATTACTACCGACACCATTGAGTTTCCAGCTTGTGATTCCGCTGCGCTCACCAGTGGTGATAATTTATAACTGAAACTTTTTAATTAGAACGTTAGACATTGGGTGTCCGGTGCTGAAAAAACTACGGCTAGGCCTTTTTCGACATGTGAATTTGTGCACCTTTTTATAAACCTTTAGCACTAATAGATCACAGGAGCGCTAGCAAAATACAAAGGTCGATTACGGAAGTTTGGCTTGAAGTAGTCAACTGGCTGGTTGTAATACAGGTGGGCATCTCCAAGCCAATAGCTCGTCTAGCTCCATAAAAGAGCAACATTACCGAATGGATGAGGTAAGAAAATTATTTATGATCTTCAAAACGGAAGACCAGTAGTGGAACAATTGAAAACGCTTCATTTTGGCTAGTTTGCTCTTCAAACGTTATTTTAGGTGGCTCTGATGGTGAACGCCGTCGACGCGTAGGTCGTCGAGGCGAAACGCGACGCCACGTACAATTCACTGGGGCAATACGAGAAAAAGTCTACTTGTATTACAAGGTAAGAAGGCTGTCTAGCCTGCACCCAATTTACTGTGACATAGTTGTTTGCATTTTCATCACGTGGTAGGTTAAGATGATTTCCTTCGGGCGTACCAAGCCAGTTGGATAGCTTTTGTGTTTATAACACCAGCACAATTCAGGACACAAGTAGATTTGTTGCAGGTGCGTTCAATTTGCCATATTCTCCCCCGTGTGGCTGACGGATAGAGGAGCTGTATAGCCACGATATCATTGCGAAAATTACTTTACGGCTTGCATTCTTATCTTAAGCGAAACTAATGTTTCGTGTAGTCCCACCAAACTGTCAAATGGACTTTTCTCTTAAGCTTAGCATGCATTTTTTAAAGGCTGCTCTATTCTGAATGCTTTTTATCAAGTAAATAGGTAAAGTTCATCTACTATGAACTCCAACGGAGCTAGCTACAAGTTCCTGGCAAAACTGGAGGGGGCATGATGCTCAAAAAGAGACAGCAAATAGAACCAATGCAGAGGAAATCGTCGTGCTCTTCATTTAGGCCTATGATATTGATATGTGCGCTGGATAGAGCCATCAGCGTAATTACGCAGAGCTGTTAGTATCAGCTATTTTGTAGTATTATTATTTTCTCGCGAAATTATCATAGATCAGTGCATCGGGGCATTCGGTATGCTTAAAAAGGCAGAGTGATCTTTAACAAGGAGAATAGGTTTTTCAACGGGAGGACGTTTAGGGTACGGATGCACAAATGAAAGTAGGACAGGGATGATTACTTTTAGTAGATGGCAGGCAGAACAAATAGGCACACAATGCTGTCCACGCTTTAGGTTTTATTTATGATGTGCTATCCATCATGTGTATAGATCTCTCTTAGAATTATGATACGGACTATGTGTAGGAGCACATTTAGCAAATAGTTAAAAACCTCAAAAGCAAGAAACTGATTTGTGATCTACAGGATCGTACCACAAACTTGTCGGCTTTAGGTCAGTAACAATAGCTACAGTTTGGGCATATATCGAAGTTTCTTAAAAGTATAAGTGACTATGATATGGTCACTCATTGACATAAATCGTTCAGTAGGCGGAATTTATTGCTTGCCAAACTTTTGCACAACGTTAGCGTACGAGCAAACTATGCTGTGTTACTTACCAAAAACGCTATCATATGCTGTGAACGATAACGACGTAAAGCTGTCGGTCTATTTATTATTGTTGTCCTTAACAGCGTTCATGGCTTGTTACGGCAGGTAGATATAGCAGAGGTTAATCGTACATAGTCTGATATATGCGCACGTATATGTGTCGGGTATTTTCGAGACAGATGCCTGTGTGTGACACAGTAACTGTACTCAATCGACCGTACCCTAGCGTGAGACAAGCTTGTTTCATGTTAATGTTCAATCAAGATTAAAACCTGAATGAGTAACCCAGTTATCATACGCCAAGAATGTTTGAACTTAGCAATTTCAGTCGCAGTAGGCGGACCAGGATTTGGGCTAACCTAACCCCATTCGTACATCGCATTAGGCAAATACTATTTTTACTGATCTCGGCAGATCTTTCTTAAAAATGATTCAGATTTCAACGTGTCAAGATTGCAACGAAAGCTAAATTCAAGTATCGCAAAAGTAACATCCTTTAAACAACGATGTATTGTACTGATACCAGTGATTTATCTTCTCTCTCAAATGTATATCCGTCACTCTGTACAGCTTAAATTGTTACAATGTTTGAAAAAAAAACAAAAAAAAAAAAGAAAACTTATGACAACGTAACGAAGCATACTAAAGATATATCGCTAGAGTACATCGTAGTGCAGCGTCAAAGCGCTAGGTAAATTGTTATGAAGTACGAGAAATGCCCCATTTAACGTGTGCCGTAATCACCACAAGGTAGGATCTAAGTTCCTTGCTACAAATTGATTTTTGATTTAGTTTTCTAAATTTTGTCAGACGATTGTACCGATTGAAACATCCTTAAGTATCTAATAAAGATGGTCTGTTGAAATTCGATGTTAAAACATCGTTAAATGATCCCAGTCGATTTCTATTTGTGCTGTCAGCGCGTTTTCTGTTCAGTGCGCCTTTACTGCCTCCCAATAGAGCCTTGATCTCCGTATATAATAATACGGAGCTCGTTAATGTCGTAGTATCGTATTTGAAGTGCTTGCTCGCTACGATACTACCACCTACCGCTTCGTAGCTATTATATCGCATTGCAATAGCCTATATTAATATAAGACGTCTATGTGTTCGGTCAACGCCTGTAAACCAATCTTCACAACTTTCGCAGGTGCACAGCTCGCAGTGACCTTATGCGAGTCGGAACGCCGATTTTCCTATGAGACGAACGCAACACCTGTAAATAGCCCCTCGGCTTAATCGCAAATATTTCTGCGAACTCTTATGGACCCATCAGATTCTGCGCCACTCGGCCCAGACCTCAGACACAGTACGTTAAAGCCTATCGTATCCCTCGGAGCAAAGAATGTAACCTAATTATATAGAATGCTTTTTAGTGCGGCCGACACGGAAAATGCTGTTTATCCAGCACTGGGATGTTGGCCTTGTTCTGAGGAAAGCCACCTAACTGATGTAACTACCTTGCGTCGTTGTGATTACAAATTAAAGCCGCGATTTGGTAAAGAAAAAATAGTTGCATGCAATATTTTGCGCCAAATAGCAACATTTTCATGAACTGCCACATGAATTGTCCAGCGAAAACTTTTAACTAATCGATATTTTTCTGCACTGCTTGTTTGCTTTGGCATCTGTTGGCGTCCTATATATAGCAGGATAGAGGCTCAGAGACTATTTAGCGTAGAGAAACGTCGTCACTCCGCCCACTAAAAGCAAAGGTGGATAGCTACTTCAAGTGAACGTGAAGTCAGCGGTGATTTCATTGGTACTTCGAAGTCTGTGTAATTCCGCCGATGTAACGATCTTTCTAAACCTGTCGGACGTATTGGGATAGTTAATAAAAATGTCTTCCTAAATATTATCTTAGATGCTGCAAGGCTGCCTTTTCTTAGATTCGTGCCTTTAGGGATGATCTATTATTATCTGTATATGGCATCCAAATCCAAAACACATGTAGCACATCGAAGCACGGGTCATGTAATATAGACGGATAAACTGCAATGGTAATTGTCAGCTGAGTTTCAACTGTGCCATCGACAGACAGGCGTTCAGTTTCAATTTAAGTCAAGCGAGCCTACTACCTGCTGCCTTCTTGGCGCCGGAGTCGTCACTGACACAGAAGACCACTATAGGGAGGAAGGTGGAAATGTATTACAAGGCCGAGTTATATGTCGGATTTGAAAAAGTGACGGAAATCGTATTACGTTTGCACGAAGACCATACGCACGCCCCCTCCACAATTTAGGCACAATAATGATTCGAAATATGTTGCGCCTACGAAGTACGAATAGTATGTGTTTGTAGCAAGAAAGTAGGTACGTACTACCTTGCGATACTTATAACTGAGAATTAAATTCCAAAAAGACGTACAACGGGTCGAATAAGTAAATTCTCAGATTTTGCTATTTGCTCTAGAGATACATATCGGTCACACACGCTAGTAGTGTCTACGTCCGAAGTTTTCTGCTCTGACTTCGTCTCAGCTATCATAAGATGAACCATTATTTAACAACTGTACTACTAACGTTTTGTTAACATTATGCTTATTGAAGAATTACATTTTATGAATATGATATAGTTCTACATACATCTCTTACGTTTTGCTTGAACTTCAGCTACTGTTGCGGTAAATAGTTACTTCTAGCTGTCTCAGCTAGTTCTTTTACATGAACAAAGTGAACGCAGCATTCTTAATATGAGTTCTCAGTGAACCCTGTTTATAACGCCTATCAAGTGGAAACCAGTAACCTATATGTTTATCAGGCTTTCTTCCAAAGGTACAGTATAGCCTTGAGGCCGCCTATTTTTTCGTTAAATCAAATTGAGCTGACACTGCTATTGTGACTATAGCCCAATGTAAATTCATTAACGTTTATGGCCACGTTTGCGTGTGGCCGGAGTTTGCTTTTGCGCACATCACCAGCAGCAGTAGTAGCGACAGCGAGCTCCTCTACTAGCAAGTCCGTTCCTTTAATTTGTCCATCGTCATCATCAGAAGCTATTTACCGTTTGAGTCCTTTCCTCGTCGACATTGGAGTGAGAGGGTCATCGCTTCGGGGACCTCCCAGACCGAAACCCATTCCTGTAGAGGCGGCGACAAAGCGGCGCCTTGAACTCGATTTACAACACCGTGCAATCTGCAAGCAGAATGTTATGACCTATTCAACAATACCGAGAATCACAATGTACATGATAGTAACACAAACAGTTACAGTGCTGCAGAGACTGGTGCAGCCTTTAACGAAAGGAAGTTGGGGAACGACCTTGAGTCAAAGCCCAATTTTAGAACCAGCTCTTGTATAAAAGCCACGGCATGCTGGCCAATGGTATTCAACATCCGTGTTATGGGCGTCAGGCATGTCCCTGCAATAATGGAATTCAGTAGCTCGCTCGTTCAGTAGTCCTAGTAGGAATCACTATCATTCGTATGACCGACTAGGACACTACACAATGGAGGGCGTCAGCAACGCTATTAAATAGTTACAAATAAAGACATCCGTGAATCAAAATGTCTTTGCACGCAAAAGCGGCAGCATGGCTACGTAATCATTGTCTACTTCACTGAGTACAGGTATACCATGGACACGGACAACAAAAACTATTAGTATTGTATACGCAATAAAAGGCCCTTTTGTTAGAGTGCTCTTCGCGGGCATTATTCGGAGGTACTCTAAGCCTACAAGCATTTGCAAGGGAACCATGCAAATATCTAGAGTAAAATGTTAAAGGAAAGCAAAGATAGGATATTTGAAAACGGATTTCAACCAAGGGGCCAGAGATTCCGCGCTGTTACTATAGTTACTACTATATCTGGGTTCGGTTACGATGGCTAAGCCCACAAACCAGATGACAACTGAGGTAAGCGATATATAAGGAAAAA